GGAGGACACTCGTGGTGCACCCCCTTGTGGTCTTTGTGTACAGTCTTGTTGTAGTTAAGCCTTGATTGTTGTAGGTATCACTGGGAGGAATTGGCTTCCAGGCCAATTGACTGTGAGAATCAGCTGTGTTTGCAGTGGGAGAACTTCTGTGCTGGAGACACCCTTCTGGGGCAAGACTTTCTTCAATGGGGCTTCGGTGCTCACTGAGTCTGCTCCCTGAGTGTGTCCTATATGTTTCCATGGAGCTGCAAACTGGATGGTCAGACTCTGACCTCTGGGCTTCCTGGCTCCTGGATCTCTAGAGAGGTGCTAATCTAGAATTTGCCTGAGGCTATCCAGCAAAAGCCTCCCTGCAGGGCTTGGGTGGGGCAGGTCACAAGGGATTAACAGGGCAGGGCTAGCAGTTATGGCTGCTTTCGGTCTTGCCCTCAGAGGCTTTGCTTCTCAATAAGCTGCAAGCCCCTAGGAGAGAAAGCTGCCCTCAAGTTCCGACCACTGCCAGACAGTCCCTCTTCTCCCCTATGAATCTGGGTCCCTAGAGACTTGCCCGGAACTGGAGCTCAGAGCCTGAGACTCCCTTTCGATTGATAACGACAACTGCACCCTCCGCCGCCAGCCCGCGCCGCACGCACCTTCGCACCTTAGTATTTTACTTCTGCACTGCGCCTCCTCTGAGTCTTGGTAAGCTTTTCTCTTTCCTTCTAGTTGTAGAATTTCTCCTCAGCCAGCCTTCCTGTGGTTCTGGGTGATGTCCGTTCTGTCTTTTAGTTGTATTTTTGAAGTGGTTGTGTGAGGCAGCGTTCTCTGGTGTTTACCTATGCCGCCATCTTGATTTCCTCTTAACATGCATCTCTAATTCTTTTAACTACTTTTTAATGAGTAGCTATTCTGTGCAAAGCATGTAATAGCTTCATCTCTGTGAAAATCCACATGGCCAAATTTCTGCATGGTTAAGCTTTTCAATGAGTGTGTTGCATCAATTTAAAATCTGTATGGATTTAATTTTACAAAACAACTAGGTGGTTCTAAGCCTTTCTAGAAGTCTTCTTGGGATGCAACAGTAGCAATGAAGTTTTTGGAGTCCCTCTTACATTTGCCTAACTCTAGAATAAACCTGAATTTATTGATCCATCTTATAAAATGAAGCTTGAAAAGAATTTTCTCCAGCTTCCTTTTCTCATCAAAGTGTCCCCAAATTACCTCTACCTGTAGGCACTCTGTGGCTCACTGAAAGGTGAAGTAAAGCAGAATCTCTATCCCCATCTCAGACCTGCTGCATCCGGCTGCATTTTAATGTGATTCTCATACACAGTAGAGTTTGAGAAGCACTGATTTAGACTTTGATACTTGGTTCACACTTGTCCCTGGTCCTTCTTTCTGAACAACAGAGATAAGGAGACCAGACTAGCGGTAACAGCTGTTTCAGAAACAGGAGCTGTACCCAAAGGATCCACTTATATACTTTTCCCCATACCCAAGCCCTGCCTGCACAGGATGTCGGCCACTAAAGATAGGCTGCCTGTAGGAGACATACGGACATGAGGGACCTCCAAAAGT